TGGCGGTGCAATCGGTTATAGAGACAGAAGGATGAACTCATTTCTGTCAATCACCACTAAAGTGCTCTACTACCATGGAAAAACGATTCTCGGTGACCTTGGTATCGAGGGATCCAAACCTGGGGCAGCTGCTGTAAGGGTCATGATGGCAAATAGGGTAACCATTCATGACTGTTTTTCTGATATTGGTTCAAAAGCAAAGAAGAAATCCTCATTACAAATCACAGGTAGCCCAAGCTCACTATGAGAGCCCTGAAAACATTATCGTTCTTAGCTAATTTATCATTCATACAGCAACAATTATAAGACGTTTTATGAGAATTACTTCTTTTTTTTTTTTTACCAGATTTTCAATTTGATTTCAATTTCTATCCGCGTCAACCCCCCCGGAAGCACAAGGAAACCCATGCTGACCCACCATGGTAGGGGTGGGGAGGTAAATGGCCCCATCAAATTTGCTTTTTGGAACCCGGGTTCGGCAGTCCTGATCACATTTACACTTTTGGAAATGTGCGAAACAATGGCGTGACGTCACAACATTCAGGAGTTTAGAACTAGAATAGGGTTTATGAGCAATGACGCAGCTGTAGGAACATGGCCTCTCCGGCTTAGGCTAAGGGCTAAATTCATAGGACATTCCCGTCGGACCAAAGTCACTGTAGAAAGTCACATTAATTTAAATACTTTTTAAAAAAATCTTTTCTTCACATTTGTTTCTTTTTTCAATTCTTTTGTTTTTCTTGTTTGTTTGTTTGTTTGTTTTTGTTTTTGTTTTAATTTATTTCCACTTTTTAAACCATTAAGAGAACCACTGAAATCTTGGTTGGTATTTAAGAACCATGGCATTAACGTTTGGTCAGGGTCAGATGAACAGAACAGTGAACAGAAGCACTATCCGGGGCATGGTTTTTGTGTCAGCACAAGAGCTCGGTCGGTAGATTCAACGACCACATAATTAAAACAGCATCATCTTGTATGTCTGCCCTAGAGCAAATTAGCCGAGTTAAACATATATTAAGAAAAGACATACTTGTTACAATAATTAATTCTCTCGTGTTTAGTAAGTTGTATTACTGCTCGTCCGTCTGGTCGAATACTTCTGCCAGCAATATACGTAAACTACAAGGAGTACTGAATTTCGCTGCTCGCATAGTTTCTGGGACAAGGAAATTTGATGACGTATCTCCAGCCCTGAAAGACCTGAGATGGATACCAGTTAAGTCCCACCTGTATCTAAGAGACGCCATCTTGGCCTTTAAATCTATGACAGGTCAGGTACCAAACTACCTCAATTCAAATTTTATCTCCAGATGCATATGGAATATTAATATCAGTGGTCGGACGACCGGATCATCTTCCCAGCTCAATATACCGCTTTTTAAAACCAAGTCGGGACAGAGATCTTTTTATTACAGAATTGTAACAATGTGGAATGCGTTTAAACCCCATTTTAAATAAAGTGAATCTCTTATCATTTTCAAACGTAAAATGAAAGCCTTCCTTTTAAATCAATTTGTGATGTCATAAATTTATATGTAAATAGTTTCTTAATAGTTTATTGATAATCAATTTGTGATGTCATAAATTCTATATGCAAATAGTTTCTTAATAATTGTTTATTGACAATTAATTCTTGAGTATTTTTATTCTATTTTATTTTTTATTGTTTGATTACGTGTACTATTAATATTTGTCTCTGAAAAGCCCCCATGGGGAGTTGACAATGAAATTTGTATTGTATTGTATTGTATAGTGTGAACATGACCTATATGTCGTACCATTAAACAACTGTGTGAATTGATCATGTGACAACTAACCTCGCAGTCACGAGAATTGCGAGAGCAAATGTTTGCCGGAACTAATGACATCCGTTCCCACTCCTCAGGTCACTCCATGTAAATTTTATGTGGTCCATGCAGTGTAAAACGGCACTCCGATGAGTAAAACGGCACGTCATGGTTACCCTGAGGAGCGGCCAAGTAACCACGTTCCATCAATCAAGCGCGCGCAGGTTATAAAGTCATCGGTTAACTAAGTTAGTCTAAGTTAGAAAGTAATGTTGAATTAACGCCGGAATTTGGACGAACTGCACGGAAAATTAACTCCAAGTGCACTAAGGTAAGAGCGACGTTTTGTTTCATCCTTACAGGCATTTTACATTAATATTTTATTCACTGATTTGCATTGACATCGACGAATTTCTAAAAGCTGCTATAAGGCGGGTTAGAGTTTAATAAAAACAATAAAATAACCTCATATGTTAATTAAAACGAACCAGCACACAAAAGACTGAAACAGCACGAAAAACTGACAAATGTATTTGAAATGGACATTTAAAAAAAATTATAATAGAAATAACAGAGACAAATGACTTTGTAATTTACTCACGAGTCCTTGTATCAGGTTGCTCAAAGAAGGTCAATGCCAGCGACTTACCAGAAACCGTACGTAGTCTTTATAGATAAGCTTTCAAAGTAGAATTGAACTGAACTTCAATTTAACTGTTCTGTTGAAATCTTAAAGTATTTTTTTCTCATCACAATCCCTTGACAAGACCTTTAACAGCGCATGACTAAAGTTATTTGAGGCTCCTGCTTGTCCAGAACAGCCAGATTAACTAAAAACAACAATCAACAAAGCGATCGAGCATTGAAGACTGTACTTAAGAAAGTAATCGGAAATTATAAAAACTTCACGTTTGATTTGTAAGTTTTCGTCTTGCGATTAAACGCTTTAGTTTTATCTGAATTATTGTTGAATTATTATTATTATTCGGTATTAATGAAAAAGAAGAAGGAAAAAAAAAAAAAAAAAAAAAAGAAAAGAAAAGAAAAGAAAAAGAGATTTGTAGGCAATTATTCTGAAATATTAGAAAGCAGCGGGGCTTCTTAAAGCAGGTAAAAAATTTCCAGAGTTCGTGCGATACAGTTTTGTTGCACTATTGCAAAATTGCACGCCTTTGTATATTGCGTTACCAAAACGTGTGTAGGTAAATTATTCAATCGGCGCTGTCTTGACGTCAATGTTGAGTATTGAAATTAATTATAAGGCATGAATACAAAACATCAGTGTGCAAACAGTGTGATTAGGTTAGCGTCAGTATTATAATTGCAACCTTATTTTAACATTTCAGAAAAGAGATTGAACTTATGGTTGTTAAAAATCTCCCATTTGCTTACTTTTTTTACGAACTGACCTGCTTTGATTTCAGCTGTCTTGTTAAATGACATATTACATCTATTTCGAAGGCTTCGAAACTACTATTTCCTGCTCCGAAAACCACCGAAAAGAGATGCCTGACATGCACTTCTAAAAAGAGATTAATAAGCTTTGTACAACCAAGTTTTAATAGAAGGAAAGAAAGACAAAACCTCTGATGTATCCATCAAATCCATGCTTTCAGCGAGACTTTGCGCACGGTATTTCCTGTGCACCAGGTGATGACGCTATTGTTTATGTCAGCTAGTAACGCAAGGAAACGTGACTCGAACGTGACGTACTGGTAACATTTCGAAATTTCATTTTTCCCAGCACTACTCGTATTATTTACCAGCTTTGATACTAATCTGTTTAACGGGAGCTTCATCGGCTTAGTAACGTTCTGGTAGCGCCTCTAAGCGTTCATAATTGAAGAAGCGGAACAGGACAAACTTTTTCTACTGCTTATACGTACTACATCCGATTAACTGCATGAGTAAGTTCACGGGCTCATTGTCACGATACACATACACGACGGTATTTACAGTCAAAAACTGGCCGCTGAACGAAAGTACTGTCAATTGTTCTGAAATGTGTTCAAATGCCAGAAATTATCTCCCGAACGAAAGGTTTTGCGTGAAATTTGGACGATTGTTCGCGGGGATATTGCGAAGCGAATATCAGGAAATTTAGCCGTGGAGTCCATACTGAAATTTACGGTGCTTTCAAAGCTAAAAACCGAAAGAAATTTTAATCGGCATGTGTAAAATGTAACTGGACCTGAAAGTAAGCATCTTCAACTCCCAGAACCGATCGGAGGTCGTTGTATGCGAGGAACTTGGACGAGAAATGGAACACTTTAACTGGGCTCTGTTTAGTGTTTTATCGCCGACAGCCATACAAATCTTTTACAGTCAATTTGCAAATCTGTTTACTTTAAAACCGAAACGGATAAAACTTAAGTATAAATGCAGATTCATTTCTAACGTTAAACAAAAATACTAATAGAATTGATAGGGTGTCGACGAATACGAATGCCTTTAGGACAGTTTTTTTTTTTTCGATTTTCGATCTTTTCTCAGTCATTTCTTTGTGATAAAAATTGCCTTGATATCAGTTCCAAGTGTCTGAAACTGTCACCTCTCTATTTACAAATTATTTTTATTAGATTCGCCAATTATTGGCAGGGTCACCGGAACAGCATGACGCCAATTACTGAGGGCCCGTAACAGTCCCTCCCCCCATGAGAGATAGGCCACCACACCGGGGACTACGTCCCCTACTCTTTACGAACAGTCTGTGGGTTCTTTAACGTCCCACAGAATTTATATATGCAGGGGTTGTGAGACGGGGCCTACGGTTTATCGTCCTTATCTGAGAAGACTAGTAAGTCTAACCGTTTGCAGATGTCTTTACAAAGGCAGCACGTTCTCATCCTCAGTTATTTAAAGACCCTGAGTGTTGGTCCGGCCGGGACTTGAACCAGCGGCCTCCCGCTCGGCAGACCGGCGCTTACTCAACTGAGCTAACCGGGCAGCGGTTACTCACTGCACATGTCAATTTGAAATTTCTGGCGATGCATATTATACTGTTTTTGCCCTTCAGATTTACAGTATTCTTTCATATTTAAAACATCTATAGGAAAATACAGGTCGTGTAAAGTCATATGTATTATGTTTCGAGATAAATCGATTATTGGCTTTTTCAAGTTCCCATTTCGTGGTGGCTTTAGTTTACATCTACATAAAATGGTATGTATGGCAAGAAACTTTACTCGAGCTGTGAACTTTCAACGGGCTTATCAAAACTCGCTAACTCGAGAAGATGACTGTAATACAGAAACAAAGCGAGCACGCTTGTCGAAAGCCCCGATGTACTCGCAGCAAAGAGAAGTATTTACCAGAGGAGATCACGTGGTCGACAGGCAAAAACAATGGGCATCCGTTGGTGCTTGGTTTTTGGGCCCCAAAGCAGAAAATGGAGACGTATTTCGGGACCTGTTGACAAAGGCCATCGATTCTCATATTGGATTCCGTCACAGGTACATTACAATTACAAGTAGTATTTGATGGGAAGCACAAAGGTGTGCGGTGATGATTTTTCCTAGTGGATCGAACTTGTGCAGAAGTTACATACACAAGTTACTCAATTTTCTTTTTTGTGGAGACTGTTTTTTGTTTCTGGCCCTAAAAAATGGAAGCCATACAATACTCATACAAAGTTAGTTTGTTAGCCTGCCTTGCTGGTGTTGGTAGGGTGAAGGGATAAATTTTGAGGAATAGCTATTTTTTGGTAGTCTTTGTGCCTCTTTTGTAAGCTGAAATAAACTCTTGCACAGTTTTTTTTCAACTTCTGTCATGGGCCATGCAGTACGGCTACCGTAAACTTCTGCGCTGGTCTTAAAAATCTTTGTAAGTGGTTTTGGCGGTCTTTTAGTGGCTTTAAACCGGAATGGAAAAAATCCCTTCGAAACAAGCTATGAGAGTGCTAATCAAAATCCAGACATGTTAATTCAGATATGTTTTGCTTTTACTGGTTTAAAATTAAGCTTCAAAACATCATAATAAAATCAAATCATTTCAATGCATTAAAGTGGGGGTATATATTGTTTTGTTTACAGGTAGATGAGCCTATACAGATAAATAATGACAATAATAATTATGATTATGATGATGGTTATTATTATTGATTATTATCATTCATTCGAACTATTTCTGCGTTCGTGATTGTCTCAAATTCCCAGGCTAATGATTTTTTATAACTAGCCTCCATTGATCAAATTTGAAAGGCATTTGAGAGATCCGATAAAATGACCTCAATACTACAAGGCATTAACGTTTTTTCACACTTTTTGGGAAGAAGAAATCAGCTGAAGTACTGCCTAAAAACATTGCAAGAACAGCAAAAATGTCACTTTCGAATGACATCTGCTTTTTCGAGAATATCTGCTTGTTTAAACATCCAGTCCATTAGTTTATTACCTGAATTCGGTGAGAAACTGGAAAATGAAGATGGAAACTTAACATCAATCGACGTAAGAAATTTTTAGCATGTTTTTAAACTAAGAAGTGTTTTGAATGAATAACAAAACAATTATTGTATCTGGCTTGTGCATGATCTGAAGAATTATGCAGATCAAGAAGTTTTTTGTCAAGGCCACGGCCTTTTCGACCTTGTGGATAAAACCTCTTTGTTGTGCATAATTCAATCCTCAGATCTTGCGGAAGGCGAATCTAATAATTTCTACATATTTTTTAAAATAACTATTTCAATCCTATTCATCCTCATCCAATAATTGTCCATTATATTTAACAGTTACTTTCCTTGTGATCCCCCTTATGTCACCGATGAGCTGCGGGAAGCAGGATCCTTCAGCTATGCCATGAAGAACCTACAATCTGAAATGGAAAAATTGCAACTGGAATTAAAAAAAACTCTGTTCCATTCTTTAAATCAGGATACAAGGTACATGTAAAGAATCAAGGTGTACTATTACTTTGATTCATCCATCCATTAATCATTCATTCCCTTTTTTTCTTCACCAAATCTTAGTAATTCTAATAATAATAATAATAATAATCCTTTTTTTTATTTAAATTCTATAACCTGTAAAGTTACAAGAACAAATCAATCGAATCAATCAATCAAATCAAATTAATGCTAATATTAATAATAATAACAACAAAAATACTACTACTACTGCTACTGCTGCTACTGCTACTAATAATAATAACCTGTGCGATACAGGTTATGTCGGCTACACCAGCGAACTGAAGAGCACAAGGGAACTACAGTCGGAAACCACCTGAGACACCTTAGGGATCAGCACAATGTGTCCCCAAATGACTTTGGGCGAAAAAAGGAAAAAAACTAAAATTCCATAGCAAACTTGATTGCCTTATTTTTGAGATGCTTTTTATCAAAGAACTGTATCCAATACTAAACAAACAGCGCGATTCCATCCACGTAAAATTATTTCGGTTTAGATCGGCTTTAATTACCGGTAGCCTTATTATTACTTCATTGTTTTATTTTTTATTATTAAGTTTTTTTCTCAATTTTGCAAATATTTTATTACTTATCACTCGCATTTTATTGTTCATGGCATTCTTACCTTTTAAACTATTTGTAACCGTTGGCAATATATCTATGCTAATTTTTGTATTTTTACTTGTTCCTGAAAATGACCTCGGAAAAGTCGAAACATCGTGATGACTTTTTTTCGTTAATTGTTATCACAAAATAATAATAGTAATGATGATAATAATAATATAACCTGTGGAGAAGCCTTTTTAGATCAAAGGCACCGAATACCCCCCCCCCTTCACCCCAAAGGAAGAAATAAACCGATATCACTACTACTTAAAAAAAAGAAAAAAACAAATAAAAAGAAAAGGGAAAAAATACTTCTTTTTGCCTCAGGGTCACGTTCTTTGGGAGACAGCAATGCCAGCAAACCTTGGCTATATGTCTGCAATGTTGTACAACCAAAACAACTGCGCGTCGGAGGTCTCCACTGTCACCAGTAAATACGAAATGGAAGTGGGCAAAGACCTGTGTGTCATGCTGGGGTATGACAGGGACAGACGGTATGGGACATCTCACCGCTGGGGGGGTCTGTAGCTAACATTGAAGCAATTTGGGCGGGAAGAAATGTGAAGTACTTTCCATTGGGACTGCAAGAGGCTTTGTTAAAAGACGAAAGACTTTCTGGTGCCAAAGGATATAAGGTAAATTTCTTTGCTTCATTTCTGCTCTACTTTATCAGATTTATTGCAGCACGTTGTACTGGATGGTAGGGATAATATGAAAGGCTGGCTTTGGTGGATTGAAAATTGCACTTTTAAATATGAAATTGAAACATAATTACATTAGGCGAATTGTACTTTGCGGACCGCTTTTCGGCTACTGTTCTGTTATAAAACTTAGAATTTTCCTAAAACAGCACGCTCTAGCGGATAACGTGGAGGTCACGTGACATCTGACGATAACACTGCTTCTCGCCAAGAGTGTCTTTGCGGTTGCTTCACTTCCCGAGTATGTTGACCGCTAGCGTGAATTTATTCGCATAAAAGTTTACCTTTTTGAGCTATATTGCATATTACCATTTTTTTTCTTTAGAATTTTGTTCCCCTCGATCAAATCTCAATATGTTTTCGCAGACCGAGATTCTGAGCCATTCTTGGGAAACAAAATTTACTTGTACCATTTCTAAATTGTATCCGATTAGGTTTTATTCCCTCAGAGAGGAAAGGAAGAACAATTAATCAGTGCTTCCCAGTGGGAACTCCTTAACCTTGATGTCGACACTATCTTAAAAATGCCCTCTGATGTTCAGGCTTTGACCGGCCTCGCACATCATGAATTTATGGAAATAATGTCCAAGTACCTTTACGAGTTCATTGGAACGCAGGAGTTTGTAGGGCGACATATGCTAACACAAAGTCCATGCATTGTTGTTCCAAGCACATTACATATTTCGTTAACGAAAGCAGCCACCATCCTTGGACTTGGTCGAGAGAGCCTTGTTTGTGTAGCAGTTGACGAAAACTCGCGGATGGATCCTACTGGTAATGTTTTATTGTGTTATCTTCGGGTAGCCACAAACAACTCTCTTTTTATCCACACAGTTTTTTCTATCTACATTGTATTGATGTACTTCAATCGTTGCAGCACCCTCGTACCAAGCGTCTTCATTCCCCTTGATCAGCGGTCTGGAAAAGCGCTAGTTTTGTCAAGTTCGCATGCGCAGAACGGGACGAAGACTCGAGGTACGAGATTTCCCTTGCAGTGGAAGACAGTAGCCTTTGTTTTGGCTTACAAAAATAATAATAGTACAACATTAAATGTAACTGTTATCTATGTGGTGTAAGAGTTATTACTCTCCAACGACTTTATATCAATAAATTGGCAGGTGTTAAAGTACAATAAATCAGAACTGACCAGTGTTGTGTCTTCCACTTGCAGTGCTTTAATCTGTGTTTGGTTTTATTCTAATGTCACTTACTCTCGAATTAATCAGGCACAAAGAACAGCAACTACAACTGCATGCGTACAAAATGTATGTCGGTATGTTTTGCTTTCACGTGTGTGAACAGAATTAAGCTTAATTTCAGTCTGATATTATTTTTGTTGTTTATATATTGAGACTAGAAAAGGTGTTTTAAACTGAAGGTTAATTTTTGTATCAACGTTTAGAATTGAACCGGACTCTAAAAGAAAAATTGGATAAGGAAATTCCAGTCATTAACGTGGTAGCTGTTACAGGAACTACAGAACAAAGCGCTGTGGATCCAGTGACTGCAATTGTCGATTTGCGTGAAAAGTTTAGAACTAAGGTAGTTATTAGGCCAATAAAAACCAATTCACCATCACTATCACCATTACCATCACCATCACCATCACCATCATCATCATCATCATCATCGCTGTTATCTTTATTGTAAACACTATCGGTGAATAATTGTCGGCGAAGTCACACTTTTATCGCTTTTTCGTTTTTCTATACATAGACCCAACACACCTTGTTTCCCTTACTTAAACTAGCAATGCGATTTATAATCTACTAAACGCTCCACTTGTATGTTTTTGACAACTAGGGTCTTAACTTCAGCATTCACGCGGATGCGGCCTGGGGAGGATATTTCTGTAGTATGCTGCGAACGCAGCCGGAGAGCAGTCCCTATGCCGACAGCCAAAGAAACAGGATTTGTTCGGAAATGTACCTGAGTTCCTACGTCCACGAACAGTTATCAGCTCTCCACCATTGTGATACAAGCTCTGTTGATCCCCACAAATCTGGCTTCTGTCCTTATCCAGGCGGTGCAATCTGTTATAGAGACAGAAGGATTAACTCATTTCTGTAAATCACCACTAAAGTTCTCTACTACCATGGAAAAATGATTCTCGGTGACGTCGGTATCGAGGGATCCAAACCTGGGGCAGCTGCTGTAGGGGTCATGATGGCAAACAGGGTAATCATTCATGACTGTTTTTCCGTACAAACATCACGATTGATTTATCTCAATACATCACGCTGTTTGGTGGAATATTCCAAGCAAATCTCTCTTTTTTTCCCTGAGTTTGGGCTCTTTTTAATGTTGTAGATCTAATTGCTGTCATAACGAAAGAGAAGAGATCCTATCCTGGAAATGAATCTCTCCTGAAAACAGCTGGGGAGAGTTGTCCCAGAATTTTTTTTTCGAAGATTACCTTATTATAGGAAATTAACGCTGCATGAAATTAAGGTATTGGAAGTTAACGCGACTTAAATTAACGCGAATTTAATGGAAAATGACTTTCGAATAAAGAAAATTCACGCGAAAGAGGAGGTAGAATTTCATAAAAAGGAAATTAACGCGATTATCTTGGCCGAAATCAAAGGAGAAGATATTGACATCACTTCTGACAGCGACAACGATGAAGATGAACTCGAAATATTGTAAACCTTCGCCTTAGCTTTTGTGAAAGATGAAAAATAAAAGGTAAATGGAAAGAAAGAAAGCCTGTAGTTAATGTTTTTTAGGTGTCAAGAATGTCTGGACAGGTTCCAAAATTGGGGTTAAAATACTG